GTTCTTCCCCTCTATTTCATTAAAGTAACTAGCATTGGCAGATTCCACCGAGACGATACTGTTAATATGATAATATCAATCCCCACATGGTTATAGCTATCTTCAATTGCTTCAGAGCTTGGATTAGTGTCAAGATCTACAGCCAAGATATGGTTTTCAGTTTTATTATCATTTTCCTATTGAAAATCCGTAAATATGATGTTGCAGCGCCACTATACCTGAGGTCCATCGAAGGAGACACCACAAAAGCTAGTCCCTGGTCGTCGCTTTGCAACAGAAACATTGCAAAGACAAATTCTGTTGAAAAAGAAAGTGATGATGACCTTGTGAAGTTCATTGGAGAGCAAGGCCGGTGCTCTTGTTTGTATTATTTGTAAGATGCAATAGGCCATCATCGAGAGTTGCCATGCCATCACGATACATGTCTGCTTTACTGAAGTTATAGTGCACAAACTGAGTAACCTCTTGAGCTAACACCAAAGAAAACAATTGGACACATGTTAGTATCCAGAAACTCAGTGACCTTAGAACTCCAGCCATCTTAAGCACCATCTTAGTATCTTGTTTGCTTCTGCTCTTGTTATTAGTTTTAGTTCAGAAAGTGAAAGTGACATTATCTTTAGTTGTTCAAAGAGCTCAACATGTCTCAAATCTGCAACAAACCTATCATCTTTACTCACTCACTCAAGAACCAAACAACACTACTAAAACAATGAATCAAACATTTTCTTCCTTTTCTAAGCTTATCTATTTCAGGTTCATTGGGTTTTTTTTCTTACTGCAACTTCTTATGGGTATCGGAAGACTTGATGATTCTTTCTTAGCGTTTGCTTTGGTACTGGAAGCCTTATCAACTTGAGCCTGTGGAATATTATTTCCAGAAGCCGTTGTCTTCCCTAGCTTGCGGATAGAGGACGCAGCAGCCATAAGAACCTCATGCTCTTGTCTGCAAACACTTCTACCCTCCGAGCTCTGTATTCTAGTTACCGGAACTACTCCATCAAGAATCCCGAAACCCTTGGGAGTCTTTTGTTTCTTCTTTTGATGTGTCTGCACATTGCTGATTTCAATTTTGCTCAGTAATTACATGTCCCACTCTTCCCACATTGATGAATAGCGTAGTGGACCCCCATCCACGACTTTGCTGAACTCCTATAGCACGCCATTCACTCTGCAATTACCAAATAGTAAAACAATTTAGGAACTGAGAAACTATCCTAAATCCCAAGCATGTCATTTCCTAAACTTATAAACAAGTTATATGGTCTCAACCTAGTAATCATCGAATAAAAAGAACATGATCCACACCTCCAAAGATACGAAATCAGAACCAAGAAAGTAGCTTACTTTGAATTTTAGAAAAGAGAGAACAATGAAAACATAACTTAAAAATAAGAATCATGTGGACAGTGATATATTTCAGCTAAATGAAAGCAAGTCAAAAGTAGTATTAGATGATGTAACAGAGAAGGCCATTGTAACTTAAGAGTCAAGAAAACATGAAATCCTTATAATGCGATCACAAACAAATTAAATAGATTATCAGACTCCAAATCCTCTTTCTCTGTCTCCCTCTGAAATTACCCTAACTTCAATTAACTAAATTAAAGTAGTTTCATAAGCATAGATTTCAATGATGTAAAGATTATTAGATCACACAATCAAAGTTCCATGACACGAATAGAGGAAGGCCTATTGATATAACTCACTCCGGAGAGAATACGATTCTTGGACAGAAAGCGACTTCAGGAGGAAGCACCACGACGTGTCTACCTGCAGTTCCAGATTTAAAAAGAGAAAATAAATGAATATGCCCTTATAAACAAAAACGTAGTAAAGAGAGGCGAGGAGAAGAAGAAGGAGAACTGAGCAGAGAGGAGAGACATCAATATCCCGAGGAAGGCTCTGGACTTGACGTTGACGGAATCAACGAGGTAGGAGATGAGGAGACCGATCGTGAGGGTGGCGATCACCAGAACGCCGCCGAGATCGTACGATTCGTCTGAACATGTAGAGTTTGTCATATTCGCCGGAGAACTCGCCAGCTTCGTCGAAGAACTCGTCAGCTTAGTCAAATCTCGTCAGATTTGGTCGCAAAGGAGAATTTGAATTACCGTCTGATCTGGTCAAATCTCGCCGGAGTGGTTGAATCTCGCCGGACTGAAGTCAAAATCTAGTCGAGCGATGAAGAAAAGAGATGGAGGAAGAATACATTTATGTTTGATTAATTAAGGTACTGTAGTCTTTTGACTATCAAAATTTTAAGGGTAAATATGATTAATGAAAAAGTGAAATAGTGTATCATGAATGTGGTAGTTTTAGCAATTTCCCATACCATTTAGGCTTTTATTCCAATGAAATGAAAAAATTGACACAAAAATATCTAAATAGTTTTATGTGAAAATTATTCTAATTTTTTTTGTCATCAACATACATACTTAACTAAGACTTTGTGAAGAACTATGGAAATTTTACATATGTATCTATATAAACGAGAAAAGATGATTGTTTACTAACACTACATGCAAGACTATCCGTCCTTGTATTCTACGTACTCGGAACATGTATGAACACTGAGTGAGTGAAGTTGTCGTTCATCAACTTAATATCTTCCAAATATAGTAAAAACTCTATAGATTAATAATGTTAAGACTATAATATTTTATTAATTTACAAAATTTAACTGTTTTAGATTTTACTGTATACATATTAATTAAATTTTATAAAGTCAATTTTTGTTATTTTATTATATTATGTGGTATATACAAAATATCTTTCATAGCATTTAAGTGTTGTTTTGGATTTAATTTTACTAAATATTATCACAATATTTTGAAATGTAAGAAAAACATCGATAAATTATATAGTGAATATAAAACAATCAATACAATTTTTGTTGTACTTATATAAACTGTATATGTGTAAATTTTTAATTTATGATTTTGATGGGACTATATATTTACAAAAGAGTTTCAAAAAATTTATTATATTATCGATTCGTGTCATATTTTGAACCAGCTCAATTAGAGATCGAAGAAATTTATTAATTTATCGTGTTTATTACTTTATCAAATATTAATTTATGGAATTTCTATTGTAGTTTGCAAAAGCTGACTATTTGGCTGGTTCTGAAACCATCTTACCAATCAAAAAAAATTCTGTTGCAATTTTGTACCTATCAGCACTTTATTTTGCAAATTAACATACCATATTATTTAAAAAATATAAAATATATACGCATCTAAGCTGAATAATCAAAATAATATAAGGAATTAATAATATTTAACTGAAATGGATTAGAAATAATTGTACTTTTTAGTTTGAAAGAATATATATATAACACAATATATCCACGAAAGGAGTAAATCGGCCGATCCATTTTTTACGAAATCAAACATTTGACTAAACAATACTATATTATTATTTAGTAATATTTTTCTACATATAAATTATAGAACGACTTATCATATTAATAAATAAATAAGAAATTCTCAAATATATATTATAAATATATTATACCTAATATTACACTTAGTTTGTTTATATATATATATATATATATATATATATATATATATATATTGCATGAGGTTTCAAAAAGTATCCTTATTATCTATTTATGTAATTTTGAATCGATCAACACTTTATTTTTCTTTTACTGTTTGATTTTCAAATAAGTATATATTATTCTAATCTAAAACATATTTACAAATCTAAAAAAAAAGAAAATTCAATGCAAATAAATATTATTTATTTTTAAGATATAATATAAAATGTTATGGTTGAATTTTAAAAGTAGATGTTATCCAATATATTTAAATAATGACCAAATAAACGAGATATTATATATTTTAAAAACATAAGTTTAATTAGAATAACATAATATTATTGAAATATATCATGAATATTGATTATAATATTTAAAAAATAATTTAAATTAAAAATAAAAAATTAACGAATTACTATTATGTATTTAGTTTATAAATATTTACATGAAAATGACCTATAATATTTAAAAGATAATTTAAATTAAAAATAAAAAAATAACGAATTACTATGTATTTAGTTATTCTTAGGTTCATCTTTCAATAGAATTGCATTATTACATATTTGATATCTTTTAAAAAAATAAACAAAATCTTGTTAAGTTATATTATATTTTTAATAATAAAAATATAAAAATAAATAAAAATAATAATTAATAAAAATGAAAATATTATTTTTTAACGAAAATATTTTAACACTAAACCCTAAACTGTAATCCTAAACCCTAAACCTCTAGGTAAATCATAAACCTTTGAATAACTTTTATAAAAACATTTTTTAAAAACAAATATTTTAACACTAAACCCTAAACTCTAATCCTAAAACCTAAATCCTTGGGTAAATTATAAACACTAAACTCTAATACTAAACCATAAATCTTTGGATAAATCATAAACTCTAAACCCTAAACTCTAATCATAAACCCTAAAACCTTGGGTAAATCATAAACGTTAATTTTTTAGGGTTTAGTGTAAAAATATTTTCTTTAAGAATAATTATTTTCGTTTTTATTATTTATTATTATTATTATTATTTATTTCTATATTTTTATTTTTAAAAATATAATATAATTTAATAAGATTTTGTTTACTTTTAGAAAAAATATCATATATAAAATAATACAATCCTATTGGATGGTGAACTTAGAGGTTCAACTCACCCTAAGAGGTGAAGCCAAGAATTAGTCTGGTATAAATTGAATATAAAATGAATTAGGAGGAGACAAAGCGAATTATACCATACTTGTGAGTTGTGACCTTACCTTTACTTAAATGCGGTGTTGCGAATCTAGTTGAAGACTTAAAGACGCAAGCATTGACACGTAGCCAATTAGATAAGCCCACGTGTTCGTCTTTTGAGTCGATAAAGGACACAGTCGGCTGTTTTGATCATCATCAACCGCTCTAATCCGAAGTTGGCTACTTTCTTTCTTAGAATTCGTCGATTGGATTATTATGGAGGCAGAGTTGCTGGATTGGGAGCTTGTGCATGGCTCCGACACCGAATCAACTGATTCAATCGCCTCGGAGAAGAAATCGGGGAGCTCAAGTGTAATAATCGATGATGGTGAGGTCAAGGTGAGTGATGATGAGATCGATGATGATTCTCATATTGAGGACACAACCGAGTGTTTGTCCGAAAAAGATCATCTCCAAGTTGCGGATGCTGGAGAAGGTATTGAGGATTACCAACCGGTTTCTGGAGACTATGATGTTGAAGAGGAGATTGGATCTGATAGTGAAGCAGTTGAGGAAAGTGGAGCTAATGCTGTGGCTGTAGACTCTAGTAAAAGAAGAGAGACAGTTTGGTGGAAGATGCCGTTTGTGCTTGTCAAGTACTGTGCTTTTAGGATTGGTCCTGTCTGGTCTGTCTCTATGGCTGCAGCCGTGATGGGTTTTCTTCTCCTCGGACGCAGACTCTACAACATTAAAAACAAACCTCAAAGGATTCATCTTAAAGTTGCTATCGAGTATAAGGTAACGTTGAAGTTGAATTGCGTTACAATTTTGCAAAGAAACTTGGTCTACTTTTAGCTGTAGAATTTCAAGTTTTGGTCTACCTAGCTTAACTATTGTATATTGGAATTTTTCTAATCAAAGAGCAAAGAATGCTGAGTTTGAAGTTTTCCTTAGCTCACGTCTTTGAGTTGTTTATGATCTGGGCAGAAGGTGTCGCAGGTGATGAGTCAGGCAGCCCGACTCAATGAATCCTTCACAGAGGTAAGAAGGGTCCCTCTGATCCGCCCTGCTCTCCCAGCTCCTGGTGCATGGCCAGTTTTGAGCCTTAGATGAGAAGCTGGATCATACAATGTTTTCATCTACTAATAGAACAGAGATGCATGCGTGTACAGCGTCTTATGTTCCAAAAGAATTAGAGACACATGTCTTTCTGATACTCCTATCATATGCTATGCATAGTTGTTTACAAAGTTATGCAATCAGTTTGTCAAATAGTAGATACCATTTTCTTTGATCAAAAATTCCATTTGAATTTCAAAGATTGATCAAATTGCATATTGCACTAATATTCGTAATCCCCCCCCCCCCCCAAAAAAAAAAAGAAAAAGATCCCAAAACGAAGACTCAGCTTATTTATACACTCTCTGCTACCTTTCTTGGTCATAAATCCTCAATTCACTTGTGAATCTTTCCTGTCTCGAGTCTTAAATTTTGGTAGATTCCGGATCCGAGTCTGAAACAAGAGCAGAAACATATTGGTCAGTATCAATCGAGGCCTCGCTCTTGCTTCTACCACTTTCCGGTCTTCTCCTCCTCTGTCCATCCACGTTTCTTGTGCCTTGGGAATCACTAGGAGCTGCTTCATATAAAGTTACAGACTTGCCTCTGCTATGAAGATTAGCCATGACTTCCTCCTGAGCATTACCGTCTTCCTTGAGTGTCTCCAGGACTTCTACCACATGACTCATGAGGGGCCTTCCTTTAGGGTTCTGGCTTAAGCATTGGTATGCCAAATCGGCTACTTTCATTAATGCCTTGGTGGTGTACTGCCCATCCATTCGAGGGTCTATTATCCTAGGAAGCTTTTTGTTGTGATTAAGTAGCGGTCTTGCCCACTCTACCAAGTTATGCTCCCGGCAAGGTCTGCTTTTGTCCATGGCCCTCTTCCCAAGGAGCATCTCAAGGAGAAGTACCCCGAATCCATAAACATCACTTCTTGATGTCAAATGCCCTAGTTACAACAATCACAATATAACTTTTATTTAGTCATTTTAAAAACTGAAACAGCAATGACTTTCTTGAGTGCTTGTATCAGTTGGAAAGTGCTAATGGAAAATTAGAAAAGACAGACCTGTCATTACATACTCAGGAGCAGCGTATCCGTAAGTGCCCATAACACGCGTTGATACATGCGTTTGATCTCCGCTAGGACCATCTTTCGCTAGTCCAAAGTCAGCGAGTTTAGCATTGTAGCACTGCACAAGCATTACACCTCTCAGGGGGGATTCATAGACAGACAAATCGAAAGAAGTAAAAAAACCAGGTTCCCCGTAACTTCACTAACTACTCTAAAACCTTGTAGACTGACAGAGAAGAAATCTAATGTAATCTCAAAACACAAAGGAGGTAATAGCTGACCTCGTCAAGCAATATGTTGGCAGTCTTGAGATCTCGATAGATAACGGAGCGTTCAGCACCATGAAGAAAGGCGAGACCCTTGGCTGCGTGTAGAGCGATCTTCACTCTTTTGGACCATGTCAAAGTGCACCCAACTCCTTCCAAGGGAAGAAACATTTATAACAGTCATGCATAGTGACAAGGACCAAAGACTTGATCAGTAAACGTGTTCATGTTTTATATGATGAGGAAAACTTAACCTACTTCGAAAAAGATGCTTCTCGAGGCTTCCCAAAGACATGTATTCATAGACTAACAACCTGTGGTCATCTTCACAGCAGTAGCCAATAAGCTTGACCAAGTTGGGATGACTAAGCTGTCCTAAATAGTTAACTTCAGCCTACAAACAACAAAAATTCAAACATCATAAAAAAAACGTCTCTCTCTCTAGATACATTACAACAAGCACAATTATACATACGAGCCACTCTCGATCTCCCTGAAAGCCTTCTGGATTAAGTTCTTTGATAGCAACTTTGGTGGATTTGTAACCAGCCCTCACGTTCTCATCAACGACACCTTTGTAGACGACGCCGAAACCACCCTCGCCAAGAATGTAATCAGGCCTGAACTGCTTGGTGGCTAACTTCATCTCCTCGTAGGTGAAGATATCAACGTTCTCGTAACCAGGATTGGACTGGAGATCTTTGATGTTTTTGGGAGGTAAAGGCAAGCCGCTTGGACTCGGTTTACCACCAACGGCTGATGACTCTTTACAATCGGTATTCATTTGATACACTGCTGAATTTTTCCCTGACAATTACAAGCAAAAACATTTGAAGTTTTGCCGTTACAACCAAAAATCAATAGTTTTATACAGAAACATAGAGGCAACAAAAAGGGGGAAAAAGAGAGATCCGAATCGGATATGATACCTAGTGTCTTCTTCTGAGAGTTTTGGCTTTGAGAGAATTGGAACTGCCCTTGAGCGCTAAAGCAAACCCCCATGAAACTCTTAGAGAAAAGGTCTTGTTGTGTGCTATTATTATTTGATTCACATCACATTGTCCATATTAAGGAAGAAATCTCAGACAGATCCTGGAGAAGAAAACAGAAAGAAACCCGATCTCCGAGAAACTTTGCTACTTAATAATACAAACGAAATGGAGAATACAGTAGATTGTTTCTCGGAGTCAGGGAGAGAGAATTAAAAAAAAAGAAAAAAAGAAAAAAAAAGCGAAACAAAATAAAAGGAAGGAAGAATAATTGTAGAGAGAAAGAGAAAGAGAATGATCCGTTGGAATCGATGGAATTTCAGAGACTAGCCGCCAAATCAGAAGAGCCAACCCTATTAACTCCTGTTTCTTCAATTTCCCAACCGCTCTTACCAATTATATTTCTCCACGTCACCAATTCCACGACCACTTCTCTGTCGACACCACAGGTCCTAAGCCTTTCATTTGTCGGGTGAATGGTTTTTGGTCGGTGTCTGATACGAAAGACTTCTCTTTTGCTAGGAATTTAGGATCCGGTACACTAAACCCGACCCGGATAATATACTAAGGAACAATACTTAGGCCCAATGTTAGAATAAAGCCCACTGAAACCAATTTTAAAGAAAAACAAAGTGTTTCGACCAAGTCAAGTGGTTGAGATCTTCCCACATCATGGAACACGTGAGAAACAACTCAAAGGGTAAAAAAGAATACTGGGACAGTCAAAGAATCTTTCAACCTAAATGCATCAATAGCTTCTTCCATGCCACACACACACATGTCTTAGCTGCATCTCACTACCATACACCATAATAACCCTCAAAACTATCTCCAATCCTCAGCTTCTGCAACCAGGGTAGAAATATTCTATACCATTTTCCTTGATCCTGAATTGAAAATTCTGCAACTTGTTCCTCGAGCTTCCTTTACCCGAGTTCCTGCTTATCCCCTTGTTCACAACAGTCAACTGTATATTTACAATACGCCAAGCAAAAATCGTTTTAAACACCTCCAAGCACAAAAGATTAGTTTTTATGATTTAAAGAAAAGAAGAGCTGAGAGATTACTTGGCCATGTACGTCATTTGCTAAACCTGACGCTAAAGGCTCTGCTTTAATCACAACATCCGCAAGGCATACCATCTGTAGCAAAAATGCAGGTCTCTCCATGCTCGAGTAAATGTCTTCATGATTGAGAATGACCAACGAACAATTCTGTTGGTAGATAAAACTTATTAATGGTCGCTGAGACTCGATACAAGTTTGAAGAGGGGCCAGAGTAAATATACAAAAATAATATAATAATCCAAGCCTTTGGCTTACGCTTTCAGAAGTTAAGGTGTGGCAGTAATGAAGGAAGTCCAAGACGTGATCTGAATTGCTATTGGTAGCAGCAATTTCCAGGAGAGACATGTCATCCACCATAACAGTTATGTTGCTATTAGTCACACTGCGTAGCTTTCGAACCGTTCCTTGTATCTCCCGAAATAGTTTTGCAACTGCACTCACATCGTCTTTTGTTTCTTCACCATCTGCTTAAGAATTTCAGCAAAAGAAAGTGTATTCAAGTCTCAACAAAAAGGTTTAAAGATGACACAAAACAATGAAATGACCATATTCTGATGAAATCTAACAGAGACCATTTCTGTTTAGTGATAAAAAGTGGGAATATAATCTGAGCTTCACACAAAATCTCATCGTTTGGGTTCAGAAATCCATTTTCTGATATATTCTGAATATGATTTGCAGGCAATGTGCTAATTTATTTGCTTAGACCGTCGCTTAGAAAGAAGAATTGATGGTTAAACAATCGAGATCACCAAAAGTTAGGACATATGAGATTGATCTAGATTCTAGAGGTCTCCTAATTCTCTCTCTCTCAGACATCCAAGATCTAACAAAAAGTCTGTCTAACCCTCTATTTATGTCTTCCTTATATCATTTTCAGAGTTCAAAATCCATGTGGTGTAAATGAGTAGGAGAACACCAGTTAACCTGAGAAGTCTCACCAGAGCATTTCATCATGAGCATGTCAACGAAAACCAATCGATTGTTTGTCTTTTGAGTAGCTAAATTGCAACCCTGTCACACCAACATGGTACGACAATGTGTGGAAAATAAAGGATTAAGTTACTGATGTAGAAAACCATGAAAGATGTGAATCATTACCAGTTTACGCAGTATACGATCGTAATGAGAGAAAGGGCGAGCAAAGGCAAGAAAGATAAGGGAATCAGAGGAGTGAGGGGAGAGAACACGCTTCATGAGCTGGTGAAGCACGAACGACCCACTTGTCTCCACACAGTCCTCGATCAGCACTACCTTCCCACTTAGTGGCGATGGATCAGAAAGCTGCTCATCAAACCCTAAGGCTAAATCCAGGAGATTCAGAGATCGATCCATGGGATTTGCTTACACTGTTCAAACAAACTGAGAAAGAAAGAAAAAAACATGTTTAAGATGCTTGGACGGTTTGGTCATCACAACACAAAAAGCAAGAGAGCAGTTCTAATGACTGTACAATATATAACATTATTAAGATGGTTAAACTTATAAGTTGTCTGTTAATTATAAATCTTTTGATTAATTCTCCAGTAAAGGTTATCCAATCGACATCTGCTTTCTTCGTTTATTAGTCAAAACAAAAACATATATATGCAATGTGAAATTCGTTGATGAATTGGGGAATCGATGCAGATGATTTTGGTTTGGAAGGCAGGAGATGTTATACGGAGAAGAGAAACGAACCGGCGATGACGAATTCGGCGGCGGAAATGGTGAGCTGTCTGACGGTGAGAAGATAGGCGGGGTGCCGATGACTAGACAGCTGCAGCAGGAAGCGACGATGGAGAAAGAGAATACAAACAAGTGAAGCAGGGCCGGCCCTGAGAATATTATGTTGGGTGCAAAGGCTAAAGTTTGGTTTTTGCAAGGAAAAGGAGTCGAAAGAAAAACAAAGAGAAAACAACATTTTCTTAGGTCAAAAAAGAGAAATTAATTTATATACTTTTTTAAACTACACAAAAAAACATTTTACTACTCAAACAATTAATTTGAAACACCTTAAAAGTAGATGCCACGTTTTTAAATAGATTTAATATCTTAGACCATCCTTATCGCATGCATCTTACTGAATTTTTAAGGTTAATAACCTATTTAAGTAGATAAAAAAATCAAAACTTGATTACCAATCCTTAACTAAGGTGTTTTGGATAGGGATGGGCACAAGTCGAGTACTCGTTATTTTTGATATACTTAGTACTTTGATTGGCTTATACGAGTAGTAAATGTTTCGACTTGTACTTGGTTTGTTAAAAACGAATACTTGCAGTTTCAAGTACTTACAAAAAATTGACGAACTTGTAAGTTACTTGGCTTGTTTTATTATTTGTTACTTGTAAATTAGTTACAAATTTATTCATAATTATTGGTAAATTATTTGATAATTAACTAAACTTTGAAGTTAAAATAAATTTATTACATAAATAATATGTCATTACTAGGTGATTTTCCCGTGCTCATGCACGGACATAAATATTTATAAAATAAATATATTATAATACTTGATTGATATTTACTTTAACTTTTATATTAATTTATAGTTTTTATGTATAATTATATTAATAATATTTGTATTATTTTAGTTATATATAATTTTAGATATATTATTTTTAGTTAGTTTATCATTTGGATATATATATATATATTGGATTCTATCTATTTCTCTGAATTCAACTATAATCTTTTTTATTCTAAATATCTTAAATTTTTGATTAATTGTTTTATTTACATTTATGTTGGTTGTTATCTTAGAAATATAAGTATATCTTAGTAAGATTATGTATTTTAATATTTTTTTGTGCTTAGAACGAAAAAAATAAAAACTAAAGTGTCTGATTCTAAATTACATACATAAGTAATAATAAATTTCCAGAAGCTTATGAAAACATATCAATATTTACAATAATTAAATAGTTTAGAAATTTTAAATAATTTATGCCTTAGATTGATTGGATGGTAAACTGAAATTTATTTTAAATAATTTTTAAAATAAAGAATTATGATTTTCTTTAGTATTTTGATTATGGTTATATTAAATTCCACAAACATAAAAACAGAAAATTAAACATCAAAAGAGTTATTAAGAAAACATATAATTTTAAATTATATTATATAAGTAAAATATAATTTATATTTTTTGCTGTAACGGTAAGATATTATAATCAAATAAATATACTAATTATAATTTTTTTGTCAATTAAACATATATCAGTTTATGTAACTTAATTATTTTATGTAATCATCTAATAAAATAGATAGATATATACAAAAACTAATTACTTTGAAAATATATATTTTATTGTTTAAATTGTTTTTTTTAAGAAAAAATATTTCTTTTTCTAATATCAAGATTATTTGTATGAATTTTTTTATGAAAACACATTATATACAAATATTTTTTCATCTAACAAGATATATATATAAAGTATAATTACTTAAAAAGTATAATTTATGTTATTTAAAAATATATTTAAGTAAAATATTACTATTTTGTAAACTTTCCTTTTTTATGAAACCATATTATATATATACTTATTTTTCGTTTTTAAATAGTTTTGTAAATTTTAGAAATATTTCCTTTTTGTTTTATATCGTTATTTGGAAGATTTTAAAAAGGAAATAATAATATTTAAATATATTTCTAATTCATTAGGGGTATCATAGTAATCAACCAGCGTGAGAGTTAACGTGAGCGCGACACCTAAGAAAGTGACTTCTCAAATATTATTATAGAGATTTTCTTGTATTTAAGTCATTCGGGAAATAGACTATATACGAAAGAGAAAATTTCAAGATGCTTTATATATAAATATAATACTTATGTTTTATGTACTTATGAAAATGGAAATATAAATAAGTTATTTTACTATGATTTAAGAAAATGTATCTTTGTTCATTAATAAACACAACTAACAAACAAAACAACATCAAGTAGTTAATTTTATTTAATATTTAATATATATTTTGTCAAATAGTTTAAATAGATTACTTAATATTGATCAAAACAAATACTAATATTTGAAGATTATGTACTCCTCAAGTATAAGTGAATAAGAGATAAACAACGAGTAATTGCGGTCACTAATAAAATGTAATACCTAAATTTTAATTAACTAATAAAATGGATATCAAGTATTTAATAAACCAAATAATATATAACAAATAATAGGACAAGTAATGATTACAAGTAACAAACCAAGTAACAAGCCAAGTAGTTAAAAATAAAAATGAACTTGATACTTGACTTGTATTTGCAAGTAATAAAGTCTGTTTATTTGTTACTCGACTTGATTGTAGCAAATACTTTTTTTTTAAACCGAACCGAGTCAAGTAGCGAGTACAAACCGGGTATCAAGCATTTTTGCCAAGCCCTAGTTTTAGAACCGGTTTTAGGGTTGGTTTTTCAACCATGTATCTTCTCCAAAAGCGTCGACGGTTTCTTTTCTTTTTTATTTCTCTATTTTTTTTCTTTATTGTCTGAGTCACACAAGAACACAGACGACGCTTTCTTCGCCACTGGGTTATTTCCTCTTCTCTTCTCTTCTTTTCGATTTTGATTTTGTCCATTGATGAAGAGATTATAGGGTTATTCGTTTGGTAGCCGCAGCTACCTGCGGCTGCGGCAATCTTTTTCAAATTTTTTTGTTCGTTTGATTGACGCCATCTTCTGCGTCTAGACGCCGCGGTTGACGCCACTCCCTGCGTTTGCCGCCGAAAAATCTAGCGGCTGCGACGTAAATGATGCGGCCAGAAAAATAATTTACGTTTTTGCCCTTAATATTATTTAGTATTTACAAACAAACCTAACCTTAATAAACGCAGCAGCCGCAACTCATGACGCAGATCTCATCTTCCATCCTCATCTCCTTCCAGCCTCTTTCTTCTCCATCTCCAACCAACCTCGATCACATCTCCATCTCTGACCAACCTCGAGCTCATCTCACTCTCCGACGAAGCCTCGAGCTTCTCTCGACGCACGCAGCCACGAGCTTCTCCTGACGCACGCAGCCACGAGCTCAAGCTCTAGCTCTCTCTCTCTCTCTCTCTCTCTCTGTCCGACGCATCGAGCTTCTCTCTCTCTCTCTCGACGTCTCAAGCTCTCTCCCTCGACGCCTCAAGCACTCATTCTCTCTCTCTTCGACGCATCGAGCTTCTCTCTCTCGACGCCTTAAGCTCTCTCCCTCGACGCCTCAAGCTCTCTCTCCCGTAAGCTTCCTCTCTCTCCTCTGTATATGTTTACGATTGATTTCTTATGGGTTTCAATCGTTTTGTATGTTTCTCTGGGTTTGTCTTTGATTTGATGTGTAGCATAAGATGATATATCAATCCGTTGAGTGTCTCTGTTTTTTGTGTTTAGGGTTTAGTACGAAAATGGAGAGAGGATGAAACTAGAACTTGGCTGATGTTTAGAGTTGTTTGTTGGTCTGTTCATTTAGATGGGTTTGTGGATTCAATTATCATCATTTTGGATAGTGATACTGATGCTTTTTGTTTGAAACTATGGCAAGAGATAAGCTTATGTTGACTTTCTGTTGTTGATGCTTAGATTAGAGGTTTAGCTAAGCTAGTGGTATGTATAATACATGATAGTGATGAATGAACATGTCGCTGATAAGCTTTGCTCAGAGCTTTACTTGCCTAAGTTTTATCATACGCTGTATGTAACCTAGTTACTAAGATCACCTTTTGTTGTGAAGAGCTTGTAGCTGATTTGAATATTTATCTCTTATGATAAGTTCCGTATATTTGTTTCTCTCCAACAACTTTTTTAGTGAGTTACCTTTTTATGAATAGATAAGCTAAGTTTTACCATACTTTGTCTGCAACTTAGTTGAGTTAGTCCATAGTTTAGGTTGCTTTGAGCTGAGAGTTGAATTTTAGTCAAAAGTTTGGGATAATATGTGCTGTTGTTGTAGCTTGAACTGATTGCATAATATCAGAATATCAGAATATGTTTGCCAGTACTTATATTGCATAATGGCTTCTAAATGCTTAGTCTTTCCTTTTTTTTTTGTAGGTATCAAGCTCTCTTATCAAGCTCTCTTATCTCTTATTAGAGGTTTAGCTAAGCTAGTGGTCTGTGCTTTTGTGGTCTCGAACTCTCAGTTCTTTTGTGGGCAGGAGTAAAGGTAACCTTTTTCCCCTATTTAGTAATATGATTAGGTACTGGATCCATGAGTGTGGATTCTATAAAGGTTTATCCTGTTTCCTTTTTGTTGATCTGGTTTGTTCAATTTTGATTTGTCTTTCTTGTGTAAAGTTGAGTCTGATGCTCTGGTGCGTGTTTATATGCTAGTAATGCTTCTTACAAGTTTGTTGTAACAATTTATTGTATAGGTCAAGCCTATGTCTTGTTCTTATATGCTACTGGGTTCTTTCTACTGATGCATTTGTCTAAGCTAACTTGAGTTTTGGTGTGTGAGTAGTTTGTACATTTTTCTAATTGGCATATGTAACTTACAGCAAACGCACGATGTCTCAGATATGGCAAAGTTCAGATGATAGCACCCGCATTGGAACATAGACAAGTTCCCAAAACCCATCATGTCTTGTTGTGTTTATAAAGAAAGAAGTAAGAGAAGAGGACACACCAGAGTGTTGATTTGGTCTTATTTGTGAGGCGTGGATAGGTCGTGAGAGAGAAAGAAAGAAAGATCACTTGAGTTATGTATATTAAATATTTTTGTAGACTAAATAACTCACTGTAAACTCTATAGTTTCTTATTTTCTTTATCTTAAATGCTCTTTTTTGTTCTCTTATTTCTAAATAATGTTTCTTTGAATTTTTTTTAAAAAAATTAGGGAATATAAATTATGTAAATAAAAGTTTAGATTCTAAATTGTAGATGTTAGTATAATATAAAGATAATTTATACATACTTTGTGAAAATGCTAGATTTACTTATAAGTAAATGACAAAATATCTTACAATGAAAATGTTGTTATTTCTGTATAATTAGATAATTTATCTTATGATTTATGACAAAAAATGTTGTTATTTTTTTGTATATTTGACTAAAATTTTATTACCAATTAAAAATAAAAAAATGTTGTTAAATTTATATATTTGACTAAAATTTTATTACCAATTAAATATAATATCTTGATGGATGTAAATATATTTAAACTGCATTTTATTTAATTAAAATAAAATTTAAAATATTTAAAATATATTTTATTTATTAAAAATATGATTTTACAAATTTTCAAAATTAAAATATGAATTAAATGAAAATAGCCGCAGCGTCTGTCAAACGAACACATAAATTATATTCCTGCGGCTGCGTCTGGCGTCTGCGTTAATCACTTGCGTCTATGAAACGAACACCAATCAGCGGCTGCGGCTGAGTCTGCGTCTGCGGCTGCGTCTACAAAACGAACAACAACTAAATGAACAGACGCAGCCGCAGCCGCAGACTCAGCCGCAGAAACCTGCGGCAACCAAACGAACAAGCTTTATGATGTTTTTTTCTTTTGTGTCAAGGTTGGCAAGACATCATTGATGAATCAGTACGTTTCTAAAAACCAACACACAGATCTATAATCGTAGCCTTATCCTTTTTTATAACTAATAAGAAATTCGATTTTGGGTTGTTTGGTTTGTGAATCGCAAGTTTAGTAATCAGTATAAAGCTACGATTGGAGCAGATTTCTTGACTAAGGAGGTTCAAATCGACGACGGAGATGCGTAGGGATTGGCCGTTGAGGAGCTGGAGAGTACGTCGGAGACTCCACCGGACCACCATTTGAAAACGGAGACGCCGAAGGTGCCGGCCAGGGAGAGAAAGGAGCAGAAGCCGCGAGGTTTTTTTCTCCGGGAAGCAGATGGTTTGATCACAGCTTCAGCAACATCCTCTGAGATAAAAGGTTTCATCTTTGCTTTCTCCTTCGTTGTGAATGACATGGTTGAGATGTAGTTAAGGAGTAGTTCATTTCTTTGTATTACGGTTTAGTTTGATCTATTGATAGAATTTTATGTTGTTTTTGATTGAAAGTTTGTGCCTTTGAACCAAACCCAGTTTCTAAATCCGGTTATGTACTTATATGTGTGGGTGTACTTTGCAGTCCATTTGCTTTGGTAGGTAATCGTGGAACAACTGACATTGTCACTAGTGAACCATTTTCTTTTCATGATCTATTATGTAGTAGTCACTGAAAGTAAGTTCGTTTTCTATCACTCTGTAAAACTGAATATGTCGTTGATTGTATCAAGAGTTGTGATAGACAGTTCTGCAATGTTGAATAATACAAATGCCTATGTGCTGTTGTTGTTCTTGTTTCATATTAATGTTTCATGTCCCGTTTTAGTGGTTTACGTTTGTGTTGCTGTTGTTCTTGTCTTGTTTTAGTTGTTTAAGAAGAATATGTAGATCAGATCAGACATGTTCCTTCTCAAGGTTTGTTAAGAAAAGTTAATTTTTTTTAAAAAACCCAAATTAAGAAACTACCATTGTAGTTCAAAAATTAGGTAATTTTTAACTAAGGTCTTTAGGTAAAAATTAATAGTTAAATATTCATTTCAGTGTATTTAAGAAACCCATAAGGTTTCTAGGAATAATCATGCTCTTAGTATTTAGTTTTATGGTTTATTGATTACTGTTTAGATTTTGGATTTGTTTAGGGTTTAGTATTTAGGGGGTGAGGTTAAGTTTAGTTTATTTTATTTTTTTCACCAAATAAACACCATTTGAAATTAAATTTAAAAAATGGTATCAAATTTTTGATAAAATTAAAATTCTCTCAACAAAAAACTCTCAAGTTCGACTAAATCAATTTTAAACCATAAAAAATATTTTTATAATGTTTATAAATTGATTGTACAAGATTCATAATAAGAAAATTTTACTAATTATATTTGTTTTATTATATACATCAATCAATCAAATTTATAACATTTCTAGAAAACTTTAATAATTCATAAGGATATTAATAATAAATATATTTTAACTATAAGTTTAAATTTTATTTTTAGTTATAAATAGCTGTTGATAAAAATATAACAAAATTTTATTAAAAACATAAAATGTTTTTAATATAAGAGAGAATTCTAATTTATCCAAACTCAATACCACTTTTCAAATTACTTTTAAATGATAGTCATTTTTATAAATATCTTAAATTTGTGATCAAGCAAATAAACTAATCTTCCTAAAATATTTATATACATGTTTATCAATTATTCATAACAGTTTTTAAATTAACCCTATTTAAATATTAAACCCTTAAGAATAATCAATAAACTTTAAACCCCAATATTATGATATTTTTGATTGAATATTTGTTTTGAAAATTATTATTTAATTCGTTGCATTTCAAGAATTTTTTCATAAATAATTCATTAATTAGTTTTGTAACTAATAATATAATATCATTATAAATTAATTTTGATTTAGTAAAAAACGGAAAATACAATTATATTAAACTGATAGATTAAACTATTTTATTTTGAGAAATTATAATTTACCACAAAATTGATACCATGCTTACTATTTTCATAATTTTCTTAAATTTGTGATGAAAAAGACTAGATTAATTCTCTTAAATCATGAAAATTGCTTAAAATACCATAAGACTATCATTTTTCAAAATATACCTTCAATTAAAAACACTATAACATCTGGATTTAGTTTAAGTAAGTGAATAACCTTTGATCTAAAAAACAGATTTCCTCAATACATATTCCACATAATATATAATATGTTTGGGATGAATGGTTGAACTTTAACTTAATACTTTAGATTTATTTTTTCTAAATCACTAATCCTAATCAATCATGTTGTAGTTTTAGTTTTCAAAATTAAAACCTACAACAAAACTTAAAATACTTCAAGAAATCAAAATGTAGCTTTTTCATGATTCAACAAAAAAAATAGATAAAACTTTAATTTTTCTATTTTTTGTTGAATTTTTAAATTGATTATCAACAAAAAGAAAAAATACAGGCCATCGGGGCTTATGAGTTTAGAAATTGAAACACAAGTCATAAATCATAGAAGAAGCAAAGGACTCAAGCTTGCGGGTTAATGGACCGTTGAAACCATCGTTGCATCATGCCACTGTAGAAGACATGGTTCTTGTGTCGCAGAGAGGAGATCCTGTTTCTGATTTTCTTGTCAATGAACCGGACCGTGTAGGCTGGACTCAGAGGAGTACCTTGATGCCGTCTGCTGTTTCTTTCTCGCCATATACTGTGGATGGTGGCTTGGAACAAAAGTTTGAGAAGGCTTGAGTCAATATCCGTCCTTCGAGAGGAGAGGAGTGATGCAACGGTGAGAGACCATTCATGATTTACTCGAGTCTCTAGTAGAAACCCAACTAGATCAATTCACACCGCAAACGAGTAGGGAGAAGCAAAGAACAAATGGTCTCGAGTCTCATCCGGTTCTCCACACAAGATACACGGCTGGACACACCCCCACACGCTACTTCTTGCTCCGGTAGAAAGCCTATCCTCAAAAGAGAGCCATGTAATAAATAAGAAGCGAGGCGTGGCTTGTGAGAACCAAACAACCTTGCTCCATGCTATAGTCGGGTGATGGGTTCAAACTTTTTGCCATGTTTCCTTACTCGAAAAAGTGTCCTTGTAAACATTCTCTCCATGCCGCCATAAACGGCGTTCCTCGTCTGCATCTTCCACTGGCGTTGAAACAGAGTTAATGCAGGCCATCATCGCCCTTAGGTGATGGCCACAACATCGCCTAATGTTCTATTGACCTCCAGAAGTCGCTTCCGAGACCGTCGCATAGCAAGAGATACTTAAGACTTGTGTTCCAATGTCACCTCTGATGTTTATTAATCTTCCCACACTCAACCAGTTGTCGAACCAGAACAACGTCGTTCTACCATTGCCAATCTCCGAGCGAAGAAAGGCGGCTGCTTGGTCCCTAAGCTTCAGTAGCTTACGCCATAAACGACGTTCCTCGTCTGCATCTTCCATTGGCGCTGAAACAGAGTTAATGCATGCCATCATCGCCCTTAGGTGATGGCCACAACATCGCCTAATGTTCTATTGACCTCCAGAAGTCGCTTCCGAGACCGTCGCATAGCGAGAGATACTTAAGACTTGTGTTCCATTGTCACCTCTGATGTTTATTAATCTTCCGACACTCAACCAGTTATCAAACCAGAACAACATCGTTCTACCATTGCCAATCTCCGAGCGAAGAAAGGCGGCTGCTTGGTCCCTAAGCTTCAGTAGCTTACGCCATATCCAAGAACCTGCGTGATTGCCATTTACATCCCAAAAACTGTGAGAACGCAGTAGATAAGCCATTGTCCATGATACCCATAGTGAACCCGAGTTTGTGAGGAGTCTCCATATCAAGCTCAGTGCAAAAACCTGGGAGGTATCTTGTAGACGTCGAATGCCCAAGCCTCCTTCTTCCTTGGGACGACACACATCCTCCCACGCAACCTTTGTTTTTTAGTGTGTGTTCGGCGAACTTGACTAGAGAAACGCTGCACACATCCCATCTATGGTATGGAGACAACACTTTGGGAGCTTGAAAACGGAACACCAAAATTTTTTTATGCTACCAATGAAAATTCTTATAAGTTGCATTCGTCCCGCATACGAGAGAGAGCGACTAGACCAAGATAAGAGGCGAGTACGTATTATCTATTAGTGGCTCTTAGTCATTCTTTGTCATGGACTTCGTGGTAAGGGGGAGACCTAAATACCTCACCGGCAGGGATTCAGTTGGTATGCCTAGGCGTTGAACCTCATCTTTGAATTCTTGGCTGATACGTCCCGCCATAAATATCGAAGATTTTGTTGGGTTTATCCTTAGGCCTGTAATACTTGCAAACTCTGATAGCACCTCAAAGACGCCTTGAAGCGAAGCAGCTGCACCATCAATGAAAATCATTAGGTCATCTGCAAAACTTAAATGAGTCAAGTTTACCTCACTGCACGAAGCATGGAATCATATACTCCCAGAGTGAGCTGCTTTATTTAGCATTCTTGATAACACATTTATTACAATGAAAAAAATATATGGGGAAAGGGCGCATCCTTGTCGCAGACCACGTTTACTCCCAAAGAACCCCTCCAATTCTCCACTTACAGAAATAGAGAAAGCAGCCATAGAGAGACAGGTAAGGATCCATTGCAAACACATGTCTGGAATACCAACAGCGCGAAGAGCATAAACGATGAGCGACCAGTTTACTGACTCAAAGGCTTTAGAGATGTCAAGCTTTAGAACACTGCTGGGACAGATCGAGTTTTTGTAATAATCTTTCACAAGTTCAGTTGCTAATAAGACATTCTCAAGGAGTAGGCGTCCTTTTACGAAAGCGCATTGGTTTGGCTCAATCAGATCCGACAGTAACACTTTGAGCCTATTGGCTAAGATCTTTGAAGCCACTTTGTACAAAAATCCTATATCCTTATCATTTGAGCTGTAAAAAAAATAAAATCATAACTGAAAAAGAAAAACACGTTTTTTTTTCATCAACATACAACGTATATATATAATATTAGCACATCGGCTAGGCAGCGTGTGGAATGGCCGTTCCTCGAGCTTGGTTCCTCCTTTAGGTTTCAAATATTTAATATATTCAAAACATTGATAATCATTAATCATAAACTAATAATTTACAGCCAAATATTTAGTATATTCAAATCAATGATAATCATTAAAGTTAGATAAACTTAAAAACATATATTATCAAGAGAAACTTGACTAGCTGTACATAAAAAAAAAAAGAATTAACTATATACACATAAGAGAATGATGGCTACGATATGTTATATATTGTTCTCTTTAATACCAAAATTGCCCTTCTCATGCGCGTACAAAGAGAACCATCCCTTTGGTTATCTTTTCTGTAGAAAATGAAAAATCCACTAACCCCTTTTCTAGTTTTGCGATATCGGAGAAAAAGAGATTGCAATCGATG